CTGAAATAGCTGGAGATTGCGCGGTAGGGCACTCACCTCAGAGCGGCTGCGCTACCGTGGGCCTGCGCCGTGGAGACTGCGACCGCGCCGGCTCCTCGCAGCCTCCTGCCACCAGCGGCAATGGCGAGCGCTGCCGCCTCTGCCGCCGCCGCCGCCGCCGAGGAGGGGGAGGGGAGGCCGAGCAGGCACGCACACGACGCACGGCTCGGCTTCCCCGCCTGGCGGCCGCCATGATGAGGAGGTCGGCACTGCCGCTCGGCGGCGCCGGCCCGAGGGGTCTGTGAGCGAGGGTTCCTGGCGTCCTTCGCGGGTTCCTCACCTTCCCATTTCGCATAGAAGATTTGGATGGGGCCGGAACCACGAAAGCAACTGGATTAGGGACATGTGGGCGACCTGGAGAAGTGGCGCAGGCAGACCAAAATGGTTGCTAATCTGGAGATGGTAACGTTTCTCGCCCCCCAGTCCCGGGAATTAGGACGTCCCGAAGGTTCCTCGACAAACAGAAAGGGGCTTCCTCGCATTTTCCTCCGCGCTGCCTGGCCAACCGCATCCTCACCCTCTTTGGAATGACCTTTGCTTCCCTATTTCAAAGCCTGCCCGGATATTTAAAAACAAAAGTACAAAGAAGCACATTAATGACATTAATGTATTCGTTCAGCGAACATTTCTAGAGGGGCTTGTCTGTGCCAAAAATTGTTCTGGACGCGTTGGCGATGCAGTTTTTAGCAAGAAAATGTCCTCGCCCTCATGGACCTTGTATGATAGTGGTGGGAGTCAGAAGCAGTAGGAACTCCCAAGCAGGTGCCTGAGAAGTTGGGAGGGGTGGACGGTAGAAAACAATCTATTATTAGAGACACAGGAAGTTTTTGTTTATAAATTGATTTTTTTTTAAATGTTATTGTGAAATACATATATCAACACGTTTACCATTTTAACCATTTTCAAGTGTAGAATTTAGTGATATTAATTACAATCACCATGTTATACAATCGTCACCACTATCCATTTCCAAAAGCTTTACTTCATCTCAAGCAGAAACTTGGTGCCCCTTGGGGAATAACTTCCATTTCCCCTTCCCCTAACCCCTGAGAACCACTAATATACTTTTGTCTCTATTCTTTTACCTATTCTAGATAATTTCATATAAGTGGTCATACAATATTTGTCCTTTTGTGTCTGACTTATTTCACACAGCATAATGTTTTCAAGATTTGTCTCTGTTGTAGCCTGTATCAGAATTTCACTTCCCTTTATGGCTCGGTAATATTCCATTATGTGGATATACCACATTTCGTTTATCCATTTATCTGTTGATGGAGACTTAAGTTATTTCCACCTTTTGGCTGTTGTGAATATTGCTGCAATCAACGTTATTTGTGTTTTAAAGTGTGGTCAGGGGACTACCTGCATCAGAAGCACCTGATTATTAAAATCCTCGGCCCCAATTGATGCTCCAGAATCTTGGCTTGCTAGCCTAGGAACCTGCATTTTTAACAAGCCTCCTTGACCTTCCCTTGGTGATTCTTATGCACACCATAGTTTAATAATCATTATATTAGGGAGTTACAAACTATCCCAAACCAAGTCAGAAAACAGCCTAACAAAATCAGGAAACTTTAATTTTTAAGAATAGATTCCATTTACTCAAAATCCAATGTATCCAAATTAAATGTCTTTCTCTTCAGCATTTTCTAGGAAAGTGAGTGCTTTCCCACCCACGTGCTGAAGCCAGAAACCTGGGAATGGTCATTACTCCTTCCTCTGTCTCCCTCAAGTCCCCACATCCAATTAGATCTTTAAAACTGTTGTTTCCATCATTTCTTATCCTGGTTCAGACCACTGTCATCTCTCCTCAAGATACTCACTAGACTCTTCATGGCCTCCCTGCCTCTGGAATTGCCTTCTCCAATCCATTCTCCACACTCTAGTTTGAAGGGTCTTTCAAAAAAGTAAATCATGTCATTGCCCTGCTTCGGACTCTTAATAAGATCCCATTGAGCTTAAGTTAAAGTCTAAAATCTTTAAGGTGGCTTTGGGACCTTTTGGGACCTCATCCGTGCTGTCATTTCTCACCTCATGTGTCACACACTTCTCTCTCAGGCTACAACCAAACCAGAATACTCTCAGGTGGTATAGGGCAGGAAGTTCTCCCACCTCATAACTTTTGCAGGGGCTGCTCCCTCTGCCTAGAACTTTCTTCATGTCTCCCTGCTCCTTCCATTCACTTGCTTAAATCCTCACCTGAATAATTCCTACTACTCTTGTATGGATTGAATTGTGTCCCCCAAAAACAAGTGTTGTAAATCCTAACCTCTATATGGTTGGGCGACTCGATGGTAACAGGTTTGGTTGTTTTTTTTTTATGCCTGTAGTTATAATCTCATTTGGGAATGGGTTATCTTTGTCATGTTAATGAGACAGGATTAGTGTAGGGTGTGTCTTGGGTCAATCAACTTGAGACATAAAAGAGATTAAACAAGCAAGAGAGTGAGCACAGATGGGATAAAATAGATGCCAAGATACATGGCGATTTCCAAGGAACCAGGAAGCAGAAACTGAAGAGACAAGGACTTCCTCCAGAGCTGACACGAGAGAGAAAGCCTTCCCCTAGAGCTGGCACCCTGAATTTGGACTTCCAGCCTCCTAAACTGTGAGAAAATAAATTTGTTGGTTAAAGCCACCCACTTCTGGTATTTCTGTTATAGCATCACTAGATAAGTAAGACATACTCCTTCAACATCAATGCCATTTCCTCCAGGAAGCTTTCCCTGATCCCCACAATTGAGTGCTTTCGTCCTTCCATCATCACACTTACCACCATCATTTATCGAGCCCTTACCATGTGGCAGGGTGTATTTTAAGCCCTTTACACATATTATCTCCTTTCCCCTTGAATCCTCAAGCAGAGTCCATGAGATAGGTAATACTACTACTATTACCAGTGTTAGAAGCAATACAACCAGAATGCTCCTTAGAAGCAAGGATGTGAGACTTTGACTCGCTTACTTTGGAAACATTGTCGGGAAAAACCAGTCGCTAGAAAAGGACATCATCTTTGGTAAAGCAGAGGGTCAGGAAAAATGAGGGGAACCTTCAGTAGATGGATTGACACATAATAGCTGCAACAATGGACCCGAACATACCAATGATCATGAAGATGGCACAGGACCGGGCAACATTTCCTTCTGTTGTAAACAAGGTCGCCATGAATCAGAGCCAACTCAACAGCAACTAACAACAACTGCTACTATATCGTTGCCGTTTTAAATATTACTTGCCCAAACCCAGACAGTAACAGATGGAGCCAGGTCTGATAGCCATTAGCCTGACCTCAGAGTCGTGCTCCTAGCCATTACCAGGATTTTTCCGACTGCAGGTCTGTACCAGCTGATGAAGCACAAAATGACCTTAATGGATCATGACCAACATTTCATAAAAGAAATAGAAAATATCAGTGTGCATGAAACTTACTTAGTAAGGCTCTTGTTTTGTGAAACTTGTATTTCAGATATATAAACGTATGTGCATAAGTCTGCATGTTTGTACTGGATCATGATGTAAAACATATTTCTTATTGGATTACAGTCGCAAAAAGTTGAAAGCACTGCTGTCTTTTTCCACAGCATTTCTCAAACCATTTACATCTCTGTATCCTTCACAATTCTGAAGCTCCAGGAGAGCTGGGATTGTGTCTTGTTCATGGTTATATACAAATCATGTAGTGCAATGCCTGGCTCATAGTAGACATTCAATAAATACATACTGAAAGAAAGACCCCTGTGTCCTCTCCTCAGAAATGCAAATGACTCTCAAGACAAATGAGCCTGTGAACCCCAGGTGTTCTGTGACAGGCTCTTCAGTCTGGTGACCTAAGATTCTAGAATCATTCTTGGAAAAAAGGTAGAAAAATCCATCCTAATAGATTAAGGGAGAACTGGATCCCAACAAAGTTCCGGTGATCATCTTTATCACAAGGGAGTCAGAAAGTGTAGACAGCAAAGCACAGGAGGAAAACCCTACAAGTTAAGGGGTACATGGCGACTGCATTAAGAAAGAAACAAAAGATGACTTAGTTTAACCCTGGGGCCCAGAGCAAGGAAAAAAATGAAGCCTTGAGAAATGGCTGGGGCTCTGAAGCCTGGACACTGGAGGAGATCCCCAGCTTGGCCTTGTTTGCAGTAAGCTGATGGTCACTTGATGGACTGACCTCATATAAAAAGGTGTAATATGTGCTAAGAACCAAAATGAGTTCAGAAACAAATAGGAAATGTGCCAGGGAACCAGAACTGAAGCAATGTGGGAAATTTCACAAGAAATGTACCTTGATGTGGCCTTCAAGGGTGGGCATAGAGCAGAAAGGTGAAAGGCAGAAAAGATGTTGGGGGAGACTGAGCACCAGGTAGAGGTGGAAAGTCGCCCAGTGTATTTAGTAAGTAAAGCAGTGCAGTGGGCCTCAGTTTGAGCAGCCAGTCTTCAGGTCTGTGTGACGTGGCTTTGCTCACTGTGGGACAGACTCTCCAAGCAACAATTGGTAGGAGTCAGCTTCCAGGAAGGTTTCAGCTATGGAAGGTAGTCTTCACTACTTAAGTTAATTGTGTGCATGGAGGGAAGATGGGGATGCAGAGAGACTGGATAAGGCAGGGTCTAAGGGTCTACTTACACAAGAATTCTTCAGGACCAAGTGATAAACTGCCTCCAGTCCCAGAGAGCAGCAGCCCGCTTTCCTCCAGCTCTACTTGTAAGATGCAAGGCTCCAGCCTCGTAAGGATTAAAGGGAACCTGGCACTATTTGGGCAACTTCAGGGGAGTTTTGGAGTCCCTGAGTGGTGCAAATGGTTAACATGCTTGGCTGCTAAACCAAAAGATTGGAGGTTTGAGTCCACCCAGAGGCACCTCGAAAGAAAGGGCTGGTGATCTACTTCCACGAAATCAGCCCCTGAAAACCTGATGGGAAACTCTTATACCTTGCTGGTAGGAATGTAAAATGGTACAACCACTATGGAAAACAGTATGGTGCTTCCTCAAAAAGTTGCAAATAGAAATATCTTATGATCCAGCAATCCCACTCCTGGGTATATGTCCTAGAGATATGACAGCAGTGACACAAGTAGATATATGCACA